GTCCTTGCTGTCTCCATCAACAGGGCGATGAGTAAGCCTCTATCAGACTACACGGTGCCACAACACAGGAGACAGCCATCTTAGAACCTTGCTCGCACGAGCGGTTTTGGCCGTACCGGTTTTTCTGCCGCATTGATGAAACGCACGTGCGGTAGTTTTACCGCTGTGGTTTTTCTGCCGCAAAATGCTTCGTTTCCGATCCGGTGCGGTGGCCGCCTGGCGGTAGCAATAGAACACGAAGAACCCTTTCTCTGTGTGCGCGCACGAGCGGCGAAACAGCCGCACGGCGACCATTGTTTGCCCGACCTTGGTGTAACTGAATAGAAGAGGCCGGCACTGTACAATCCGACCATATCGGAGTACAGTGACAAAAACTAAAGAGAAACTCTGTATAGAAGTCTGTGAAGATCTACTGCCGAACTCGAGCCAACTTGACAAAAAAGAAAGTATCTGAATAATTTCTTTGGATACATTCGCAGGTCCTCATATAACTTGTGAAATTGGGCTTTCAACAATCTTTGACTTACAAGTGGAGGGAACCAAAATTTATTTATACGCTTCGCCCTTGCTCTTAGCAAAAAGCGCACACGACGACAGTCGCAACAAGATCCATACCTCGTCTTATCAGCCTAGAGCGCACGCCAGCTGTCTCCACAAAATCGAGCTCCCAAGTGAAAAGAAAACGCAGACAATGCGTTTATTTCACCGTCCGTGTGCACAGGCAACAAGAATTATGCGTTTGCGGTAGTTTTACCGCTGCGGCAGAAAAACCGCTCGTGCGCGCTAGCCCTTAAGAGGAACACATGTAATTGCAGCATTATCTTTGCGAATCGTATTGGAAGGACATTTATAAAATTTCTTCATGGTGTAAATTCTATGTGAAAAAACTTCACTGTGACTGAGACCAGATTCCTACGAAACGAGGGAACGCAAAATCGACAGCCGGACTGCAGAATTGAGACTTTACCCTTTCATCACTTCCGGTTTGGGACTTAAAATTTCAAGCGCTTAATTTTTGTTGCACAGAGTATATCACGTGTGTGCCACGTACATCTGCTCCTTACGTAGGTGTTGTCCGCGAAGCTTGATTGCACGGCTGATATTTTCCTGACTAGCTGAGCGACTGTTAACTTCTCAAGAAGGCTTCTGAAGGTTTTGTAAGACGGTACGCTAACACTTGCCAACTTCGTTACACCGCGTGGTCATTGTTCGTAACGCCCACACCAAGACAAGCTGGCTAATTGCCCTATGTGTAGTCTTTGCTGAGGCTGAGTCACCGACGACCCTTCACCTTCCCCGTCAGCAATGCTTTCACGGTGAACATGATCTATTTTCAACTGCGGCTTCTTGGTTTCCTTGACTTACAAATCACAACTAATATTAAACACCAGGGGCGGACCGTTCATTTTAACCGTGTTTGCCCGGCTAGCACATTGAAAAATGAAAAAATATAAAGAAATCTGCTTTAATGTCATGGTTCAGTGGTACTCCATACACCGGAACACAGCAGGACCGATCAAATCGTTTGCCATCCAGCCAATCAGCCAGACGCTCGCAGCGAGCGTAAGCCAACAACGCCTAGCTGTCTGGAGCTGGCTTACGATGCATTTTACCCGATCGGTTCTGCTGTGTTCCAGTGCATGTACACTGAAGGGTCTTTAAATTGTAACAAACACTGATGTTACAATTACTACACGCCCAGGAAATTTCAACATCTGCAATGAAAAAATACGAGTAGGCCTATATGCTCCTGAAGATGGCTTATAGGGGTTGAAACATGTTGGGCCTACAATGACTGTAAAGGTATTTGTTGTGATCTGACTGCTATTTTTGTATTTTAGTTAGTTAGTGTTCTGTCTGACGACAGGTCCACATGAACAGGATCCTTCCATCCTTTTCTCGGACTGGGACCTGTTCATATACGTTCTTGGCAGATGATCCAGAAGTGGTTTGCCATTGCCTTCTTCTGTGTGTGAATGGAGTAATTGTTGGGATGCCACGGAGAAACCGGGGAAGCCCCCGGAGGAAAACTCCGTGTTGCCTAGACCACGGCCTTGCCCAACAGAAGTTATAAATTCGGGCACCGCCGGGAATCGAACCCGAGACCCCAGGATTGCAAGGCCAGCGTTCTAACCGCTAGACCACCGTGCCATGTTTATTTTTTAAATTAAACTTTAAATTAAAGGGACGCAAAGGACTGTTAGTCATTCGTGTAGTGTAGGTCACGACTGCTTATTACTCTCATTATCCTCTATTTATTGTTCGAACTCATAATTTAAGTAGGAGTCTGAGAAATATTTATGCACGGAAATTAAAATCGAAGTTCGCGCTGTGCTTAAGCAGGGTACCTTAAAGGCGAGAAGAACTCCAGCGTTAGATGGAGCCTAATTGTCGGCTTGTCTTCATCCCCTCTAGTCCAACGAAGACCCGCAGTTTGCATTTGACAGGAGGCAACACCCAAGAACTTGTGAGTCGAAGCATCTAGTGTTGTAAAAGTAAAGTAAAGCTGTCCAACTATACGCCATGTAGGCGCTTGGGGGGAGAGGAAGTATAGCTCCTACTCATTCTTGACCTCGGCACTAGAAGGGGGTGAGCGATCAGCATCACGCCCCGGCCGCGCTTAACACCCGGGGGGAAGGACCCCGGTACTCATTAGATAGGAGGCTGGGTCTGGACGCAGAGGCTAGAGGAAATATCCTCTGCCCCAGTCGTCCATTCCATAGTAAGTCACTGTATTGACTGAGCTACGCCAACCTCTAGTGTTGTGGGAGAAGAAAATATTTATTAAAAGTAATATATAAGAAGGGATTGCCTAGTCACCGCGTAAAATAACTTGGATGCAAAGTTTATATTTCGAGAGTCATGCTGAGATTTATTTTTCTAACCCTTTAAAGTAGAAGCTCGCTTGAGTAAGCCAAATATTTAAGAATCCAATCCGTACCGCAGAGAAAACACGTCACTTTCACGAAGACTACTTGGTTAATGCTGTTTTAGGACACAATCCCTGTGTACACTGAGAATAATATAAAACACATAAATACAGAATTAAGTTACTGATTGTCAAAGTGCCATTGGGCTCTAAAGGGATAAAGTACCTTCGTCTGTTAATATGAACGGCATAGCTTGTAGTTTATACAGTTGTTGAAAATCCAGGAATAGTTAGCTTAAAAAACTGAGCATATCCTGGCCACATCTCTGTCAGTGATCTTCTCGAACACCAAACAAATTCAAGCAAAAGGGACAAGTATTTCTAATGAAATGTTATACGCTGTACGTAGCATGGAAATGGATATAATTAAAACTAGGTCTTACGAAACGAATCCCTGAAAAACTCCCTTCTGTTCCCGAATAAAAAGCATTTGTTAGCAAGGAAATTCCAGAAATGAACACGCGGTGTTTAGTAGAATCTGCCGACTTCAGTTTCGCCACGCAGCGTTTGTCAGATGGCAACAGCTGTTAGTCATAGTGCGCAAAATTAAGCAGACATGTTTGACTCGGTGTTGCACAAGTTCATGATAGAGAATGGAACAAGGAAGAGGCAAGCGACTTCGTATACTCCGGGTATGCCCACAAGTGCAGCTTATATTTAGGAGATGCTTCAGCCAATGACTGATTCACTTTTCACAAGCAGAGATGTTTCCCTTCCATTCTTTGAGTTGTATTTTTAGGTTTTATAATTTTAGCTACTGGTGAACGGTGTCACCTAAGGAGAATGTTATTCAAGGGAACGAGCGGTAAATATACACTGCTCCTCGCCCCCTTATTTTACGACATGCTAATTACAGTCGTTTGGCGGGGCATGTAAAATGCATGGCAGAGATGAGAAATGCGTAAAGGATTTTGGTCGGGAAACCTGAAGGCAATTTTCCATTAGGAAGACATAAGCATGGATGGAAGGATGTTTTGCACATTTTGAAATGGTGTTGGGAGGATCTGGAGTGGATTCATCTGTCTTACGGTAGGGACCGGTTGCGGACTTTCATGAACACTGTAATGAAAGACATCGCGGAACTAATTCTTCAAAAAAGAAAAATTATATTACGGTTAAAGTATGTCTGGTCAATTTCTTAACCGCACAATGTTTTCTTCTCTCTGCTCAGAAAAGTTCATGAAATTATTTCAAACATTACAAAATGTCTGCTCAGAAAAGAGCATGAAATTATTTCAAACATTACAAAATAAATTATTCGATATCAACGCAGTATTTTTGTATAAAGTTGTACCACGTCTGTTGCCTGGCAACTAAACTATTTCAGCTCTCGTTCGATGATATTTCACAGCTGGCAAAAGCAGCTATCGTTACCCGAAATGCGGTCCTCTGCAGACTTAAATAAAGTCAGAGGGTATGAAGGCAGG